TTGTGCAAACTTTGCTTCTATGTATTGAGACCAAACCAGTGCAGAGTTGCTGCAGACGATCAGCAGAATGTTGATAATGTCTGACGTTATGAGGTGATTCATGAACAGGCCTGAAGCAAACGATTCCTCACAGACCTTAAAAGTATTGTTCAGCTGAGCGGCAGCAGGGGTTACAGGAAACAGAAGTTTAGAAAGGCAAACATGCACTTGAGGTAATAAAATTGGGTTAGTCACTGGAAGGGTTCTTGGCTCCGATCCCTTGAGGTGACGGCGCCCTTGACCAAAGGCAATGAAGGCCAGCAACTGTGGTGACTCTGAACTGCTGCCAACAAGTTACTTTTTATACCTGAATAAATAAATAATTTCAGGGGGGTGGGGTATTTCTTTTTCCTTCTGTCACTTCTTTCCCTGTCTCTCCATCTAACCTCCATGGCTGGTTGATTTGGCTGAGCAAAGGGAAACAGGCGAGGCCTCCACAGTTCAGGGCTCCGGAGAGCTTGGCCAGGCAGCGGCAATCAATCACTGAATAAATCCGTCCTCTCACAGGACTGCCGTGTGCCAGGTGACTTGGTCAGAAGTTGCAGAGGAAACATACTGTGTATCACCCACAGATGCTTTCTGAGTTTAGACAGACTGGGAAACCAGTGAGTATACAGACATGACGAACGACTGGGTGAGGCGTGCTCACATCGGTCAGATACGGCACGCCACATCGTTAGAAAATGTATTCAGTTATACTAAAAAGATTGGTGCCGAAACGCTGCATGGCCACGGCTCTTTGTTCTGCAGAATAAAAGTTTCAACTAAACATATTGGTTGCCTTTTTTTGGTTTAACTTAAATTCCTCAACTTGATTAGATTTTGACCACAATGGAAGAAGACCAGAAAATGTGTAAATTCCTGTTGGTCTTCTGGATGACGTTGACTTTTGGTGTGTTTATCTCTTGCAGACATGTCTAGAGTTGGAGAGGTACCTGCAGACAGAGCCCAAACGACTCTCGGAGCTCTTCGACGAGGAGCTGGACTGCCTCCTAACGCCGGCCTTTATGCAAGGCAGTGACAGCGATGAAGACCTGATGGACCCACTGCTCCCCAGCCTCCCAGACCAACCCAGCCCACCTCCTCTACTTGTAGCCATCCCAAAGGTCCAGGCCAAAATCCTCCAGGTCTCCAATCCAAGCAGGAGTCAAGCAGTAGCCGGGACGGATATTGTTACAACAAAGGACCAGGTCCTCGGAGGAGTCAGTGCTGCACAGCTCAGTGCCGCCGTCACATCCCTAACACCGCCATCGTCTCCAGAGCTCGGCCGGCACCTTGTCAAACCCACACAAACGCTCACAGCAACGGCAGACGGTATGTTAACGCTCAAGTTGGTGGCAAAGAAAGTTGGATTAGGAGCAGCTAAAGTGGTGGCAGCACGAGCGCTACCTTCTCCGCCAAGCCGAGGAGGAGCCTTGAGCGACAGCGAGCAGGGAGGCGGGGGAAGTCTGGGAGGAGATGTTCCTGAGAACAAGAAGAGAGTCCACCGGTGCCAGTTTAATGGCTGCAGGAAGGTTTACACCAAGAGCTCCCATCTGAAGGCACATCAGAGGACCCACACAGGTAAGATCCTTCATACCTTCAGTGAAAGACAGAATGCTGATGTCTTTAATGATTCTGATCATGGTACTGCTTTTCAGGTATATCTTAAGGATTTTTACTTTGCCCATCAGAGGATTTTATTTCCTAAAAACACCTGGGGCTCTATTGTTCACGAAGTGTGCAGCCTGGTACATAAAACCTTGTCTTGATGAAACAAAGTTTGTCTTTAAACAGTCTTGCAAAAGGCAATGTTCCCTCCTCAGTCTTCTAGTTTTAGGATGAAGTGGTAGACAACATGCACACTGAAAGCATGACGTTTATAGCCAAACATTAGCAAGACCAGAACTCTTTAAACATGAGGTGGGGTGTATTCCTAACAGAGCCTCAGCATAAAACTTAATGGTGCCTGTGTGAGTTCACAGATATACTTCGATAAATGCTTAAGTCTAAAACTCATTGTAAAATAAAGACTCTGGTCCGGCATTATGTACTTAAACAAAAAGATGCTTCTCCGTGTGAGCTGCTGGAAGCTGGTGGATAATTTGTCAGTAAAACATTGATTGTTTGAGTTTCCTAAAGAGAATCAGCTCTTGTTTCTCAGATGAGCTCCAGGACTTTTCATCTCAGTCTTGGTACCAGCTCAGGGTCAAGAGGTTTGGCATCAGTAATTGCCTGATGATTGATGGAGTGCCGCTAAATGACTTTACCAATTCAGCTATGTCCAACTGGGTCTGATGAGTAGCTTTAGCATCTTTCTGCTGCTGCCCTCTCAGTGACCCTCAGACGGAGCACAGACCAGGCTAATGTGTGCAGGGGCAGAAGCCAGAAGCTTTCCGGATGAGGACACGATCTCTGGACTGGGGAAAGAGACACATGGGCAACGGTTGAGTTAACAAATGGAGACAGTGTTGAATCAAAGCTTGAAATGTTGTCAGCAACAAAGAGAAACTGGTTCAAAAGTCTTACAGTTGGTTATTACGATGTAAAACAGTTCTTTTGAATATGTTACAATACAGTTAGAAGCTAAAAAGTTAAGCACCCTAAAGAAATTCTGTGATTGGGATGTAATTTAGTGCAAACGCAGACCAGTGATACGTACGTTAATCACTTTGTAAGGAGCTGGCACATTGCCTTGAATAAGTGGCGGTATCATGAGTGGAGTGGGGTATGTGAGGGAACGTAAACACTTTGTGATGCTTTCAGCCACCTAAGGCAGACCATGCCATGAGAGGATTGTTGTATTCTGGGTCAAGCTGTTCAGATGCAGCATTGGACTCTTCACATCACTCGATGTCACCCTGTACACAGCGCCATATGGGTTCACCCACCCATGCAAAGGCTCTGCTTAGATTGGTGCCATAACCAGGAGGCACGGACTGAAATATCATGTTCAGCAATAAATCTCAGTTCTGCATTACCACCGATGACCATCAGGTCTGATGGTGCAGAGGAGACCTATGTTGCCAAGGCTTTGGAGGGACACACTAGCTTTACTCCTGATATGGTGTACCATAAGGTATGATTCCCAGCAACTCTAGAATTGATGTAGGAGACCCTGAGAGCACAGCGCTACGTCAACGAGATCCTGCTTCCTCATGTCTTCGTACAATCTTTCATCAAGACACCGTCTGTCAGCACATGACATGTCTGTGGACTGCCAGCATCATGATGAAATCTTCTCGGGCGGCTGTGGCTGAATGGTTAGAGCAGTCGTCCTCCAATGGGAGAGTTGGAGGTTCGATTCCACCAGCTACACATGTTGAAGTGTCCCTGGGCAAGACACTGAACCCCTCACTGCCTCCCATGTGTGTCCCATCGGTGATTGAATGTGATAAAGCTCTGATTAATCTACAGATTCAGATTAGCTTTGTAGCGATGCTGTATGAATGTGTGTGTGGAGGTAAATGAGGGCACAAGTTGTTTTGTAAAGAGCTTTGAGTATCTTGACTAGATAGAAAGGCGCTTTATACGTACAGTCCATTTACCATTCTTGTAGCCAGCCAGGTCCCCTGGTTTGGACATCAACTCTAAACCAGTGCAAATGACAAGTTACAAACACTGTGGGCTGACGTGTCAGAAAAATGACAAAATCTGTATAACACTGTTTCCTATCAAAATACAGTACCTCTTGGTTCAAGGCCCGGGGTGTGGGGTCCTAACATGGGACCAGCAGTGTGACTGCTGCCAAATCTATTGTATATTTTATCTAATGTTGTAAATATTACAGTTACATTTGCAATTTAATTTCCTGTTTGTCAGTTTTTGTCACTAAGTGCAGTTTACCATGGTTTAAGAAGACTACGGTATAATTATTATTGTTTATCACAACTAACATTACCACTGGAAACCGTTTTGTTCTGTGATACAAACTATTTGATTGCCTTGTTGAAAATTATTAGGGCGCTTTTTTCAGGCAACGCTGCCATATTGTAGTTGATGATCTCGATAATGACGTAGCAAAATCAAAAACTATGCATAAAAATTAGATTTGTGTATGATCCCACAGACGTCAGGGCATTAAATGCCACGCAGCATCTCCAGTGTGCAATAAGATGTGCAATAATGTCTTAATGTGCAATAATGTGCTGTATGACTGTTTTTATCTTATTCTTTTTCTTACCTTTTATAATGTTTCATTATTTATATATCTTTTGACAGCATATGGATGAAACTTAATTTTGTTGTCCTTACAATCACAGTAAAGCTTTTCTGATTCTAATTCTCAACAACTAACGCATAAAAAATGGTATTTTCTGTATGAGAACATGTGTTTGGATAAGTCATTATAGATGCTGTTTGGACTGTCACCACCTACAGCAGCACAGTTCTTAAAATGAGACAGGAAACGGTAATTTGTTCATTCTTAGCAACCCGTTGATCTGATTTAAAGTTGGAATACCTCCCGGATTAAAGATTTTTAGCCTGAATCCGTCACTTATCTGCAGCATGCTGCATGGGCACACCTTGCACAGCCTAAAGCCGGCATTATTCAACTTTAGCTTCAACCGCACCATCAATTTACAGCATCTAATGCATTTCATGTCCTCCAGTTGTCATCATCCGGTGTTAGCAGTCTCGCCAGGTTCACAGTACGTAGCCTGAAGACATCTACTCTATTAATACTGGCAACTTTGGCTTCATTAATCCAGCGTGTTACAGGCTTATGTGATCTCTGCTACTATTGCACGACTGTAGCTGTGGCTTTACTCTCCAGGGTTGCACCTTGGGTAGCTGGGAAAACTTAACTCCAGGAGCTTTTTTATTGTATCTAATCCAGAAAGAGCAGCCAGTCATGCAAGACCATGACTGCCACTTCCAATATCTTTAATCTTTGGGGGATTCAGGAGTCAAGTCATGCTAACAAACGATTAACTCTTAAAGGTAAAATCATATCCTGAGACAAAACAATAGGCAGACACTTTAAAGACCCTGCAGCCTCCTGATTCTGAGCATGTGTGGCATGAATGTTGGGGGTGTCGTATTCCCGCCTGATGTGTTCATTACAAGCACTGTGCTGTGGTTTAATTAGCCTAATCCTCTTTTTGGGTTATTATGACCATAAATCATTAAACATACATGTAGACAGGGATTAACGTTGCAGAGCCTACAGGGAGGAGCAGCTGCAGAAAGCCTGTACAGTCTCAGTACGCTTACTGTAACTCAGTGCACACCAGAGGCCATTAAAAGCATCATTATTTTCATGTTTGTCAGCGTCTGCATGTGCAGACATATGCGCTGCTCAACCACATTAGCTTGGTAATTACATCCCTGTGTTTGCGCTGAAAACAGTTTCTTTGAGATGCTGATTAGATTTAAGGATTTTCTCACTTGAAGCTCTTCAATTAAGGATGAGTTGCAACATTAGTAGATGTAGACATTAATTCAGTAAATCCAAGTCAGGGCTGTTTTGAGTCTGAGCCAGAGTTGTATTTTTTATCCTCTCTTGGATGGAGTTGGCTCTCTAAGAGCAGCGGATTGCTATTAGTCATATCTTGTTTGAGTAGCAGTCCAAAATAATATACTTGACTACAGACTTGGCATCCACGGCAGCAGAATTTGTGAGCTGTTTTTAAAAGAAGTGTTTGTCAGAAGTCTTAGCTGTGTTGGCAACTTGCAATCTGCAGAGGGAAGCCCACCTGTTTAACGTTAACATCCACCTGCGTTGAACATCAGTGAATGCCGTTTTGCACCTTCATTCATTTTTTACTGTCCTTTTTTAACAAGATTGATCCAACATGCATTTAAAAAATAAATTAACGTGCCGTCTTCTGACATGGGCACGTGATTGAAGTGATTTAAACATCGTCTAAAGAAGACATGGAGCAGATATGATCCTGCCTGAACGTCGTTCGTCTGAACGTCCGCTCCTCCGTCCTTGAAGCGACAGCTGCCCCTGCAGCCTCACCCAGCTCCTCATCCAGCTCTTTACGAACTCCAAACATATGGTTCATGGGCAGAGTTATTCTCAGCCGTAGTAGTTGAAATATCCATAAACTTTGACCAAAACTTCCCTGACACTTTATTAAAATCTGCTGAGGCTTTCATTATATATTTTGCTCACAGAATAGAGAAAAAACAAGCACGGGCATTTACATGATTTCCTACCCCCTGGAAAGGTGATGATCTGATGTTTTTCCCACAACAGTCAAAAATTTAAACAATAAAAGCCTTAAAATGATGATTTTAAATCAACCTTGTGTTGGCCCTGTGATGAACTGGTGACCAGGGGGGTAAGGCGTGAGCGAGACCTTGACTTTGAAAGTCTGCTGTGGGAGACGGTAAAGCTGCTGGTTATTATAATCCTCACGCTGCAGCTCGCAGGTTTAAATGCTGTTATGATCGTTCAGTTATGTGTCTGACTTTCTGTGACCCCGGCCCTCACACTGCTACCACCAAACAGCATGCACCTCCTGTGGAGTCAGGATAACACATTGCTGACCTCCCTCCAACACCTGAATGCTCCTTCATATTCCTCTACTACCCCCCTCTCCGTCCTCCACTTGCTTATTTAGTTCGGGTTGCCAAGCAACTGCATCCAACTCTTTCATAATTGGTCGGTGCCTTGTAGATTGTCCATGCCTGTTAATCTCTCTCTGTCTCTCACACCCC